AGGTATTGGGGAGGACAGAGAATGGTGGGCAGGTGGGGGCTTTGGGGAGGGGATGTAGCGGGGGCAGGAAGAGGCGGAGCTAGGGCAGGGCCTTGAGGGTGGAGCACTTCTGGGGAAAACTAAAAGTCAGCACCTATGTGCTGATACTGATCCTTTAGTAACTAAAAATTAAAGCTTTAATAATAAAAAGAAAAAGAAGAGACTTACAAATGGTTAAAATATCAATATACATACATGTGACTTCCAGTGTTCATAGTTCAAGATCACAGCAGTGATGAAATAAACTGCTGGCTTGTAAAAGTCTCCCTGGAACCATCCCAACAGGTCAGCATCCAAAGGCATCTTATATGTAAAGTCTGTCAGAGTCTTTCCAGGCATTTCCCAGGTTATTCCAAATCATTTATTGGAAGATCTCCCTTCTATAGCTTACACTTTCCCTGTTCAAAGTTTACGCAGACTAGAGGTGGCAGGATTAGGCCCAAGGCTTCTTTTTTATAGCTGTTCTAGCAGGCTGACATGCCGCCTCAGATTTTGTCACATCAGGGCCTTATCCCGAGGAAGTATAGGCAATGCAGAGCGCCTGTGGACCGTTGCTTTGAAGCTAATCTTCTATTTCCTATCGGTGCCGTAACAAGGGCGAGGCGAGTGAGGCACTTGCCTTGGGCGTGCAAAGCGGAGGGGCACAGCTCGACCGCCCAAGCGGGGCGGGGGGGGGGGAAAGCCGCGATCGGCGGCACTTCGGTGGCATCTCTGCCGCCGCCGCTTTTTCAGCAGCAATTCAGCGGCGGGCACCCGAGTCCCTCTCAGAGGGAAGTACCTGCCGCTGAATTGCTGCTGCTGCTTCATTCATTCTTCGGCGGCAATTCGGCGATAGGTCCTTCTCTCCGATAGGGACTGAGGGACTTGCCGCAGAAGAATGAATGAAGCGGCGGCGGCGGCAATTCGGCGGCAGGTACTTCCCTCCAAGAGGGACTCGGAGACCTGCCGCCGAAGAGCCTGGAGCCGGCCCTTGCCTCGGGCGCAAAAATTCCTTGTTACAGCTCTGTTTCCTATGCATACACAGGTAAACTAGTTACACTCATTCACATAAAGCAATTAGACCGTCCTCCATTATAACATAGTTAAACTGAAGATAATGTAGATATTAGTTTCTTGCAATATCTTACATCTTTGATTTTAAGGTTAACTAGACACAGTTGCATACATAATTAAGGAAATCAAGACGTGAAAGGGAATTAGCATCTATAAACTAATCTGGCTACAGTGTTAAACTTCTAACAGGATATAGGTAAACACAGACAAATACACTAAGCATCTGCCGGTGATTTCTATTACTACAAATGAATGAGTTGATGATTGCTAGTACATCTCTATGAAATTCACATACAAGTAGATTGTCTTGATTACAATTGTAATGCCTCCTGTTAAGTTGTTATGGGTTACACACAGGTTGGCTGGCCCGTAACATTTCCCCAAAACATTTCTGCACGCAGGCTGTAGAGCAACATTTCCAAGAATCAATCCTGCTTCAGACAAAGTTCTTCAGACTTTAGTTTCACAAGAACAGAGCAGACCAATGAAATGGAGAGCGAGGCTGCAATCAGAGAAGGTGTTTGTTTACCATGTGGGCCACTCACAACCACTGCAATTTAATTCTCTTAAGTCTACGGGAGATTTTACAGCAAAATCAACCAAGAACTAAAACCCCTGGAAAAGATTCCTGTAATTTTTAAGGCCAAGCAAACTTCTTGTCCCTGGCAGTGTCTCTTGAATATTCTGGAGTGTGTAAGACTTGTTCAAGGTCCCCTTGTCCTCAGGTTCCAAAAAACTTGTATCTGTTTTCTTGTATATTTAGAAGTAAACTCTGTGATAATGGAGATTAAAACTAATGTGCAGTAGTTTCTACTTGTTCAATAATCATTAATAAAAAGTAAAAGATTTACATGATTGTATAAGATTCATTACTAGGATAAGAGACATGCTTACTACTTGTCCACTTATTCTCGACTGCATCTCAGATTATGAAGAGGAGCACTGCGGCTCTGAAGAACAGAAGAAAAGTCTTAACATATCATTACTGATGTGGAACAGGGATATGTTCTTGGATTATCAATAATTAGTTTGCAAAAATCCAGTTAAAACCAAAATAAAAAGCAACAATGTGTGCAGTGCTGAAAGCATTGACCATTGAAGTAATAAATAAGCCGAGTCAGCAAGTTCTTAGTAACTTGTACTTATTTTAAAAACACACACAGTGTATGATACAGTAGGTGCCAATATAGCCACAAAACCTGATCTATTATTTTTCCTGGACAGCTCTAGTAATTCATTCTGCACCCAGGCCAGACCACTCCACCTGCCAAGGTCCCTCGTGTGGGAAATAAAGCAATGACAAAGACCCCAAAATGAGGATGTAGCAGGGTGATCACCGGCTCCTGCCTGGAAGGGCTTAAAACAGCCCTGGAGGAGGGCTGTGGAAGGGCAAGATGCCTGGGCTGATTGGGAGGAAGCAGGCTCAGCTGGGGCCACGCCCCAATCAGGGCCCAGCTGGCCCTATAAAGGCTTGAGCCAGGAGTTCAAGTAGACAGTCTCTCTCTGTGTTCAGAGAGAGAAGGGCCTGGGTGCAGGAGCTTAACCAGGTATCTGGAGTGGAGCAGGCCTGGGGAAAGGCCAAGGGAGCTGGGGAGCTCCAGCCTAGGAAAGCCCCAGGCTGCAGGCCTAGTAAGGCCTATTAGTTAGTGGGTTGCAGGGGGCAGGTCCAAACCCCTTTGCCTGTGATGAGTGGCTTATAAACTGCAGTCTGCCCCAGTGAATGGGGGCTAGATGAGGACTGGCAGTATCCAAGACTGAGGTGAAGTGGGGATAGGGGGTGGGGGTTCCCCTGGGTGGGGAGACCCTGAGACTGAGGGGTTACTGCCAAGGGGGCAGTGCCCCAGAGAAAGGGGCACTGGGTCTGGGGTGGGGACATAGGGGGGCCAGCGATGAGGTGGATCACTGGCTTGCAGAGGGTGCTCCTGGCTGGAAAATGATCTAATTCCCAAGGACAACCAACAGGAGGTGCCGCAGGGGTGGGTCCACACCCTTACGGAGGGATATAAAGAAAATGACTCATGCAGAAAATGAAAAATGTTGTTTGTATTGCGGTAGCACCTACTATCAGGAACCTGGGCTCCCTTGTGCTAGAGTCTGTACGTACATGTAAGGAAGACATGGTCCCTCCCTGCCCCCAAAGAACTTACAATATAAACAGAGTGTAGCAAAATACTGTGGGATTCATCCCTGTAGTGGCAACAACCCTTTCTCTAACTTCAGCTTCATGATTCTTTCTCTATTTCTGATTAATTTTCAACCTTAGGTGTGAGGGGCTTCCAAATCTGTGTAGAACACAGGAAACCATAGGGCTGAAATGACATCCCTTCATTCTATTCTATTCAGGTTCTTACACTGCCCTCATTACTGTGAGCCTTCCACTTCTGACTAACATCCATCGTGTGTTTGTTCCAGTCTCAGACTTGCCCTGAGAAAACTCTTGTTTTTTGCCAGCAGCTGTTGGAGGTGGGGGAAGATCTAGTCTGCCCCCATATCCCAGTTGTGCAATATGTCTTTTGGATTTTTACTTCTCCAGGTCTGATGAACTTGGACTCATAAGAGGTGTAAGGATAAATGGCATAAGCAGGCGTTCGTGCAGTGGGGTCCGAGTGACTCAGTGGGTCGGCAATGGGTAGGCTTGGAAGGATTACCTCTTTATTGGCAAATGTCAATAAATGTTAATTTCACCATACAACCACAAACTGATGAAAAAATATTTCTATTGGTAATCAAAATTTACAGATAGACAAAAGTGAGAAATGCTGCTTGAGAACTTATTAGAGTTTGACTTAAAAGATATTTACTCTGTATATTTTGATGTGATGTTGACAATTTGTGTTTTCAAGGGTTTATAAGCCTTTAACTTTTTGAATCTCATCTACTGTCATTAAATAATTGTCTGACCCTCCCATAGTTTCCCACAATTGGGAAAATGTAAATTGATAAACATCTAAAAATAATATTTAAATCCCATAATCCTGCACACTGAAAATTTAAAAGGATAACAATTTTTAAAAAGCTTAACCATAAACATTGATACTATCAGTCAACATTATTTAAAAAATGGAAATTGAATTCTGCTAAGCCTAGGAACAGGCAAGAGAACCAGTTCAACCTAGGTTCCTAGTTCTAATACCAGCCTATGTCTGGTTCTACTTCAGCCTAGGACCCTGGTTCTAGGATAGCATGGGACCTTGGTTCTAGTACCAGCCTAGGTGAGTGGTTCTAGCACAGTCTAAGACCCGTCAGTTCTAGCACCGCCTGGGGCCGCCGTTTTAGCACAGTCTGAGATGTGCCAATTCTAGCATCATCTGAGACCCGCCGGTTCCAGCACCCCTTGGGCCTGCGGTTCTAGCATCGCCTGGGCCCCACTGGTTCTAGCCCAGGCTGAGACACGCCAGTTCTAGCACAGTTTGGGGCTGGGGTTCTAATACAGTCTAGGGCGCGGTTCTAGCACAGTCTGAAACCCGCCGGTTCTAGCACAGTCAGGGGCTGCGGTACCACAGTTTGGGGCCACTTGCTCCCCTCAGGGGGCGCTCCGCCCCCTCGAGAGCTCCCTTTGAGTTAGGCCTTCTGAGCTTGCTGCTCCCACACGCGCCCTCCGGGAACACGGTGCCCTATTGGCTCCCTAACGTTCTAAGCCCGCCTTAAACTGCTTTTCTCTCAGCCCGGACCCGCCCATCTAGGTCTCACTTCTATCATGCGCAATGGATGACCTCACCGCTCCAAACTCTGACATGCGCGCCTCGCCGCATAGAACCCGAACATGCGCAATGTGGGCTGATCGGGGCGACTCCGAAATGCGCATGCGCTCTGTCGGCTCTGCCACCAGCGCTGTGTGAGGGGCTCGGTTCGGGCATGCGCAGTCTGGGCTAGTCAGGGCGCTATCCGGGAATGCGCATGCGCCAGAACTAGCCCGTCCACCAGCGGCGCGGGCCGGGTTCCGCTCTCCTTGACATGCGCAGTAAGCGAGAACGCGGAAGTCTCAAGTGAGTAAGCGCCGGCCGCGTAACTAAGATGGCGGCCTCCGTGAGGCGCTGCGCCGTGGCCTGGCTGGTCCCCGCCGCGGGGCTGCTGGCGCTGCTGACTGGCCCGGGGGCGCTGGGGAAGCGGAGTGAAGTGACGGTGCTGACGGACGGGACGTGGCGGCAGCTGCTGCAGGGCGAGTGGATGATTGAATTGTGAGTGCGCGCGAGGGATGGGACCGCCCCTCCCCCGCCGCTGCGCCCCAGGGTGTCTCCCCTCCCCCACCAGCCCCGCAGGGACGTGCTGGGGGGAGGAGGGACGTGGTGTCCGGGCCTCGGCCCGCGCTCTTCCCTCCCTCCCCCCCCCCCATCCGCGAGACCCTCCCGGGGGGCGAGTGTTCTCGGGACCACTAGGGCGTCGCCCCATACTCCCAGCCTGCCCTGGGGTGTGTTGGGGGCGCGCTCCTCCCTCAGGCCGCCCTGCTGCTGCTGCGGTGGGGGTGGGGCTCCGGGGGTCCAGCCCCCCCCAGGCCCCGTGTGCAGTCTGCCTCTGGGATCCTGGCCCCTCCCGCTGTGCTGAGATTCCCATGGTGAACCACCGCCTCATGGACCCGTGGGGTGGAAGGGACCTCCCGAGGCCATCCCCTCCAGCCCCCGCATTGAGGCAGGGCCACACGTTATCTAGACTTGATACAAGTGTTTACCCAACCTGTTCTTAAAAACCTCCAATGATGGCGAGTCCCCAGCCTCCCTAGATAAGCAATTCCAGTGCTTAACTGTCCTGACCCTTAGAAGCCTTTTTTAGTGAATGTCTAGCCTAAATCTCCCTTGCTGCAAGGTCTGTTAATTGGGATTATTTTTTTCATCTATGATTCTGCACCAGTGTCTCAGGCAGGATTGGGCAGCTTTTAAAACTGAGGCTAGTTTCTCCTTTGTGCAGACTTCTTTCAGTAACTGTAACATTCACAGTTTGCCATACTCAGTTTTGCTAACAATTGTTCTCTTAGTACAATTGTTACTTAAGAGGTAGTAAAGGTGGCAAGTTTATGAGGCCTGAAGGCATGATTTAAAAATGAAATGGTGAGAGCTGACTCTGTGGTAATCAGATCTTTAATTTGCTTAATCTGTTAAAATGGGTTGTGGCTGCCCATTTGTTAATATCTCTTTAGCACTGGCGTATTAGTGTGTATGAAGTCATTAGGCACATTACTTGCAGTGCAGTGTTTATATTCTGGCTTATTACTGTATGGTTGAATAAAATAGCATTGTGTTTTTTGAGACAGACTTTATTTTTCAGTTATGCTCCCTGGTGTCCTGCCTGTCAGAACCTGCAGCCTGAATGGGAAAAGTTTGCTGAATGGGGGGAAGATCTTGAAATTAACATTGCAAAAGTGGATGTCACAGAACAGCCAGGTAATCTGTTACATATCTGAAAAAAGAAACCATATTTTATACAGATGTTTACATTTGTGCAGTACCCAGAGGCTGTGTTGCTTCATATGCTTTGTTTGTTTTGGTTTTTTTGTTGTACTAAAGTGAAATGTTGATCGTACTTGTTTTAAATAAAATGAATAGAGACAATCAGAACAATACAATATCCTTAATTGTAGTGAGAGCTCATTAACTATATTTATGGTTGAGATTTTCAGAAATGCCTAAGTGGCTTAGAAGCACAAGTACTACTGAAAGTCAATTGTACTTGTGCTCCTAAATCATTTAGGTGCCCTTGAAAATTCCACCCTGTTTGCATTATTGTTGTGCCTGGAAGCCCCAACCTAGATTGGGTTCCCTTTGCACAAGCTGCTGTACAACACACAGAAAGAAACAGTCTTTGCTCTGAAGACCTTACTGTCTAAATAGATAAAAGATGAAACAGGCACAGACAGGTGAAATAACTTGCCCAAAGTCACATAGCCGATCAGTGCAGAGCTGGGAATAGAACCCAGGACTTCTGTCTCCTTGTTGAGTGTCATATCCATTAGACTGTGCTCTCTTTCCAGTGTATGTGTGTCAGTTTGTGCTTGATCAGAATTACAGGGGAGCAACCGATATACATTTTTGTCAAGATACCTATGATAAACACATTTATTGTCCAACACTGCTTATTTCCTCTCTCCCCACCTCCCCCCCCCAGTTCAAAATGCTCTTAACATTTTAAAAACGACTGTGTCCTTCTGCAGGTCTGAGTGGGCGATTTGTCATAACAGCACTTCCCACTATCTATCAGTAAGTACTCAAAATCCACAGTAATAGAGGAAATGTGGTGATCGTCTTATTAAATGTTGGATTTCTTGGAAAAATGATTGAAGATTATTTGTTTGCTTTATTGAGATAGGCTTTTTAGGACGGAGAGGAGGAAGTCTCAAAGCTCTTTGTAGCATTAATCATAAATTTATAATCGCCTAGCCTGACCTCCTGCATAGCATGGGCCACGGAATGTCATCCAATGATTCTTTTGCAGTTAGTCCGTACCTTGACCTATCTCTGTAATGGGTGGTTCCATTTTTTAAACTTGTGTCTATTAGGTGGGTTTAATGCTGCTATTGGGTGAAGCACTGGCAAGATTGTCATCTTTCTGTAGTAACACAATATGAGTCTAGCAAAGATCCTATATTCTGCCAGATAAATTATGTTAATTGCTTTCAATTTTTTCTAAGACTCTTGACTTTAAAGTAGGATAAAAGGAATGATTATACAGAATACAGAAGAAAAATGCCATTGAACAGAAATGAATGGTATATGAATAGATTGTACTACACAGCTACATGATAGTTGTACTATATCGGGCATCCTAAGGTACTTGTCTAACTTTTTACTCTTTGAACAGTTGTAAAGATGGAGAGTTTAGGAGGTACCAGGGCCAAAGAACTAAAAACGACTTCATAAGTTTCATCAGTGACCAAGAATGGAAGTCTGTTGAACCAGTTTCTTCTTGGTTTGGTCCTTGCTCTGTCCTGTAAGTATCAGATACTGATAAAATCATACTATATTATTTTCGCTACCAGACACATGCACATTCGAGGATTCTGTGAAACAAATTATTTGGTGCACCATAGCACTGCTTGGTTCACCTTAGAGCAGTGGTTCCCAAACTTGGTTCGCGACTTGTTCACGGTAGGCCCCTGGTGGGCCACTAGAAACTTTGTTTAGCTGAGCGTCCGCAGGTATGGCAGCTCCCAGTGAACCGCGGCCACTGGGAGCTGCGGACACTCAGGTAAACAGAGTGTGTCGTGGCCCACCGGGGCTTACCCTGAACAAGCCGCGAACCAAGTTTGGGAACCACTGCCTTAGAGGGGTAAATGTAACTTTCTGTCCCCTATTCGAATGAGGCTGTCTCAGGGTCCATTATGTTGGTGAGGATAATCTTTGCAGAGTTGAGAATCTGACACTGTATTTTTGTTGCACTTTGTAGATTTTTTTCATAGGCTAATGTACTTGTTCTGCACGCTTGAGTGGAGCAGCTAAAAATTTGGAAAGAGTATATCATTGTGCTAGAGCGCTGGCAGTGTAAAGAACACGTGGAGGCAAGTCAGATGCAACCTGTGATGAGTGCGGGCAGGGAACAGTGGGAGAGTGATGTCACCCAATCTCTCAAGAATTGTGCTGTTTGAAATGCTATGTAGCCTTCCAGTGGTTTTGAGGAGCAACTCAGAAGATTGCTTGCTTTTAACTACTGCAATGCTCCTATGTTGTAAATGCTGGAGGTATCTTGTTATTTTGGGGGACGGATGGGGTAGTAGATGGGGAATTGCATAGCAAAATGGCATTCCAGAATCAAGGTTCTGTAATCTGACTTGGATGATCCCATATTCTTATACGCTGTACTAGTTCAACAGTC